AAAATGTCCAATTTATGGAGGTGTTGGACGATAAGTTATCATCTTGACAGCGAAAATCACATTAATGATTGAATTGATTATGATACTTTTGTGAAATAATTTTTGCAAAATTAAAACAATTGTAATTGATTATATTTGTTCATTAAAAGAAATCCATAGATCTATTGTTGTTCTGTGTATCAATAAGCTAATTTGTATAGAAAGTCACGGAATCTTCAATTTCAAATAAAACAGACACATCTTTTTAATAATTGTGATTTGAATATTATATAATAAAATAGAGGATGTCAAACGATTGTTTATTTTGTTTATTTGAAAACCTTCTATGTAATTGATGATATTAACTTTTTAACTTGAAGTGTCTTCAAATAGAAAATCTAAATTGGAAATGTCGACATATTGGTAGTCATTACCATCAATTGAAGCTTATGTAATCATTGACATTTACAAACATCCTTTTGCTTTTTTTTCTGTTATTAAAAACCGGCTTTTATCTTTGACTTGGTTAGTATAACAATAGAGAAAGTGATGAAAAATCTCAACTAAAACTTATACACAATACTTTATATTTTACTTGAAAAACATATGTATTAGTGTTAAATCAATCTCGGCTTTAGTTATATGATCAGTTTATTATCCCACAACGTAATTAACATATTTTATTTTGACGAATACATTTCAATTCGCTCGAGAAGAGAAGTTAGATCATAATAAACATCTAATGATGATAATTTGTCTTCATTAATATTCTTTAAAAAAAGCTCTAACCCATGCTCGTATTTCTTCGACTTGCTTGGATGTTGCTGCAATAGGTAATGATATATTGATAATCAATGAAGAAATGTATTAAAGTTTTGATGTTATAATTAGAAAAACAGAGAATAGATATTAGGTATGAAGCAACATGTTTAATGATTAGAAGAGTGTATATTGTTTGCTTAATCAACCACGAATAATAATAAAAATGGCGTTTATGAAAAAAAAATGTGATAAGTCAAGGATGATGATCGAAGAATACACTATCTATTGTTTGCGAATATTAAAAAAACAGAGATACAAAAAAATTAATGTTTAATTATAGTAGATTTCTTTGGTGTGAATTTATATCAATTAGGTCGTTTTTGTAATAAAAATTTTATTAAGTATCACTTTGTCTTATAAAGAAGTCTGTTTTTTTTTTCATATCATCATGTGGCAATTACTAATATATTTCTATTTTATCTGCCTTTTACCTGTTTGTTATTTTGAGAACCAATTCTGTTTTATTTTTAGGCAAAATCAAATGAAAAATTATTATGCGTTATTCTTTGCAACAAATAGGTAGATTTTGTGTAAAGATAATAAATCTTTAAGAATAGATGTGCCGTCGTATCTTTTATTCGATAAAAAAGGAGTCGAACAAGCTGATAGGTTGACAGTTGTTCAAAAATGAGATCGATCACATCTAAAATTGACGAAAAAGACAAAAATAATACAAGGGAGCATACAAATAAAAAATCGCGGAACGCTCAAGAAGTAATGACATACCAAAGAGATAACTAAATTCTTGTGAGACAACGTATACACTACAAAACAGCACCAAAGATAGGTCTTATATTAATATACAAGATATTCGCATGGCAGTATATCTAAGAAGCTACTACTGCAGTTTGGTGATGCTTTCGTCCTCACCCTCAAATAGACTGCTGCATTCAATGTACCAATCACTGTAAGGATGTCACTAAACTGCATTCTTCAGTATTAAAAAACAAGATGACATACGATGATGGAACTTATCACTACGAATATCAACTGCAGATATGATACTCGACGTAGGATACATCTCATTTTACATCGGCTATTTTTTGTGTACTCAAAAAGTGAGTACACTCTAGAATCGGTCAGTATGTCCGGCCGTCCGGCCGTCCGTCCGTCCGTCCGGCCGTTAACACGATAACTTTTGAAAAGAGAGTCCGATCGCGATGAAATTTTCTACACAGTTTAGTCTTAACAATATCTCGGTCGAGTTCGAAGATGAGAATGATTGGCCGAGCCATTGCTGAGTTATTGCAAAAATAGTCATTTTTCCATATGAGAAGATAGACCCTTCTCTGCTTTCGTAAAAAACTTTTCCTATCATAGTCATATAAACCCCCAACTATTATATACCATTCGATAGAGAATTTCACGAGCTACAAAACAGTATATAAAACATAAAGAAACAACAAGGCTAGCTCACCTATTGCAGAGATAAACAAACGGAAATCGGTTCTGTTTTTGTCTGCGCTCTAATCGATCCACAATTCGAGCTCTATCTTCCGATCACAGAGATAATACTTCGAGGTTTTCTAGGATGAAGAACTCGAATTTGTAATCCACTTCACTCGAAGCCCCATTGGTTGAGCACTGACCAATAGAAACCAAATTATAGGAAAAACGAGTTTTTTAGGATAACTCAAGGCGAAGAGTCCAAATCTGAGCTGTGTTCACTCCGAAATCCTATTGGTTGAGTAGTAGCCAATAGAATTCAAATGTTTATAGAAAGGATTTGCCAGGCTAATTTTTATATCCGCACATTCTAGGATGACCGATTTGTCTCATTTACTTTCTGAAGTACACATAACTCTCGGATTTAAATCCGAGGTTTCCACATTTATTTTAATATAAAAAGGTCTTAACTTGTTTATTGTAGAGCCCATGCCATCAAAATTGCGCGAAAACCGACGATTAATCATGATAAAATCACTAAAATTGGAATTTTTGCCGATTTTTATAAAAGAATTGCCATATATTTTGTTATCCAATTCTCTCCATTCCCCTCACCTCTCTACTCTCGTCTCCCTGCTCTTCTCTTAACTCTGTCCCTCTAAAAGTTACCAACAGTTTACTGTCAACCAACTGACTAGTACCGTGGAAAGGCATGTCATATATATACACGAAGAAAAGAGAACACAGACAGAGAGCGCGTGAGTCAAGAGAAATGGGAGTTAGTCCGCCGTATATCAGGAGTATAGTGGCGATCCTGGCCGTGTCTAATAATAGACATCGTCGATTGGTCGTAATCCTGATTCCAAATACTTAAAAATCGGCAATTACTCGCGATGAATCGCAGTTAATCGTTAAAATATCGGCGATATCGATGACATGGGAAAATAGAAAGAAGAGAGTGTGTGTGTGTGTGAGAGAGAGAGAAAGAATAAGGCACAGAGATTAGGGTATGGAAAAATAGAAGGATAATAAGGGAGACAGATAGCTTTAATAACAGGCGTAAATGCTACACTCTTTTCAACAAAACAAAGCAAAACATTAATACACGCAACTTTTGATCTGTTGAAATACATGACACAATATTTTTGTCAAATATTTGTGTTATCTACCTATTTGCGATCTTTATATAAAACTTGAATATATTCAGTATTCAAAATATGTCAAACATTTCATAGCGGTCATTTTGGCATACGTTGTAGATACTTCGATCGAGTACAAAGAAAAGATGACGCTGCTCGAATCATGTGTCTCGAAATGCATTTACAATAAAAAAAAGGAAATTCACGACAAATAAGCGATATTAGATGTTCGATCGATGATTATATCGGCTATGCACATATGGTTTCTCAAGGAACAAGCGTAGCTTACACGTGAGAAGTTATGCATTTTGTCGCGGTTGATTGATATTTTTTCCTCTAATCCTCTCTCATACCATACCGATAACAGTGTATGCTTTGATTTTTCTTTGATTAGTATCAGCAGTCAAGCACTAACACCACTTAACACAGTACTGATTGAATGGAGCATCTGTTCAAAGGAGCTGTACACATGATACAGCGTACTGTATACGAAACTTGTTATTCTTCCATCTATTTTGTCAATGAGAGCCATGTGCTTGTATAATGCATTCCAATATTCAATGAAGAACAAGTCATCGCACTTGTCTATTATTACATTGATAGAATAGATATATATATGTCGTTGTCAATCATGTTCATTCTGTCATCCGATACATCTAGAAGTGCTTTCGTTATATGTCAAACTGTTTTTATAGTGATGATACATTGTATTTTTCTAAGTGAATCTAGAGATGCAAAGATGTTTTCCTTGGTGAATTTTAAGCTTTGCGTCAATATACCATCTCAAAAGGCATATTATGGTGCAGACGTTTTCCAGCCCGGAACTATCGTCCTAGGCTAGTTGATATCATTTATGACAGTCACCGTGACACTTATTGGCATGCATCACCATAGAATGATGATTACAGCTAGTGCAGGCGATCGCTATTGTTTGGCATAGAGTAACAAAAAAAAAAAGAAAGCTGCAACTTTCGTTGTTCTTATCAATTCTTAACCTTTTTCTCTCTTTCATGATTTTCATTGCACTTTTCTTTTTTTTTTGCTTTGCTCGTCAAGCACACATACGCAAAAAACATTTATTAAAACAATAATTATACGTGTTTCTACATGAAATTCGACGATTTTCTATATACGATCAATGATTTTGGTCGTTATCAAAAGTTAAGCCAATTCTTCATATGTCTCACTTACATAATAACACCGGGCAAGTTCATTTAGCATTCATTTTTTGTTGAATAAATTCTCCTATTTAATTTAGTTATTGTCTATGTTTGGTCATTTGTTGCTGCTACACCTTCTTTCCGTTGTAAGCTACATGAATATGACAATATTTATTATACGAATATTTCAACTTTCTTCAATGGGAGCGAACCCGATAAAGAATATTGTAAAACAAATACAAAAATATCAGTAAAAGAATGTCAACGATGTTATATGAAAACAAAATCTAATACGGAAACGATAGTTATTCAACCATGTAAAAATTACGTTTTTGATCAAACATATTATGATTATACGCTTGTTGAAGAAGTATGTACCAATTACATACAAGTAACAAATCTACTTTGTTTTCTTTCTTAGTGGTTAATGGTATGCGATCGAACTGTATTTCGTTCAGCAGTACAAAATGTGTTTTTTTTCGGTTACATGATCGGATCGGTATTCTTCGGGATCATGGCTGATAAGTAAGTTTTCTTAAAATGAAAAAAAAAACTTCTTGAAATATAATTACAGTTGCAAATCGTACTTTTTTTAGCGAGAACATCTTACGTATAGTTGAAACAGTTTTTCACGAAATAGTTCAAGCCGTGATTAGTTAGTTGTGTTCCTAGCAAAGCAAATTTTTCGTTTAGATCAACATTAATTATATAAATTTAAAAAACTGTAATTTACAACATGAATAATCTGATCTATTCGTCATCACGATCTTCTTCAGAATACTTATAATTTTGGAAAAAGTAACTAAAGAAATTTTTCTGCCACGATATTTTGCTCAGGAGGAAGATTTTGTAACTTTAGAACGAATCCAATACACCCCATTTAGCGTACATACGAGAATAATTCTCAAGAATTCGTATAGTGCGTACAAATTCTAATTCGTCTGCGATTACTCATTTCAAGAAATCCAATATTTCAGACTTTTTGAATGTTTTCTTGCCGAAAAATAGAATACGGTCTAATATGCCATTCATTTCGTATTCGAGCTGCTAATCAATTATTTAACATTAGATTGTTTAGCGATATCTCGTTTATAAGATGTTGGATAATGCTACCAACACATCCTCAGATCTAGCTCGCTGGAGTTCTCTCTCATATCTCTATGTATATTTTCTCGGTTCATTCATCATCATGTTTCATGTAGCATGTTTTCTTACTGTTCTCTTTCTTTTTTGTAACATCCACCTGGTCTTTTCCATTTTTGTTCATTATATATTTTTGAATTTTTCCATTCTTCACTATGTGTCATGTGTCACCAGTGTGATGAACATGTCCATCCCTAGCGGTTGTTCATCATATATGTAGTCGGTGATTTTTCATCAATAAAGTCAGTGTAATATGATTACATTCATCTCGTATTATTATCCAACCGATGATTATACTTAGCCACCTACCAAAGAACTATGAAAACCGATTTGGATGACATCTTTCGTAGTTTTAAATCTCGGTTCTCATGTTTTTAGAAAGTGGATCAAAGAACCTCATACTTTGATTTTGCGAATATTCAACATTTTCACTCGAACAATGTAGCTCCTCGAACAACTTTTTGTCAGATGAAATAACAAACGATATGTGTAAAAGTTCAGCAAGGCAACCAAATAGGGGCTTTTAGCGACCCGTCTAATTAATATACATCCATTCAGAGTTTTGAACATAGATAGTAAGAATAAGAGTTGCTAACATATTTTCAATTGAAGTGAGAATTATATTTACAAGTTAAAAATCAGTATGATGATTAGATTTCTTTTTTTCTTTAATTAAGATATGGCCGTCGTCCTATAATAGGTATTTGTCTATTGCTAACGGCATGTTCTGGATTTATTTGTACATTCTTTCCACAAAAAGCTAAATTTGGTTTCTGGCCAAGTTATGCAGCTTATACATTAGGTCGCTTTATATTAGCTTGTACAACCAGAGGCATTGGCATTACTGGATTTGTACTAGGTAAATATGCATTTCTATTCTTTTAGCAATGAAGCAAGGTATAGTCTTATTCATATTCATGTTTCATTGATTGAAAGAAAATCTTCACCTTTGTTCATTGATATTTCTCGTAAAAAATTTGGTTTTCTTCATCTTTTTTAGTCACTGAACTAGTTGGTCCAAGAAAAAAATTTCTAGCAGCAATTATTATTCATTATTGCTTTCCACTCGGTCAATTAGTTTTGGTTGTTTTTGCTTATTTTATTCGTGAATGGAGACGTTTAACATTGGCTCTAACTATATTTACAATCCCGTTCATATTTTTGCATTTGTAAGTCAAAAATTCTAATCACAGTATTATATTGTATTGTATTGTATTATTCTAGTCTTGTGCCAGAATCAGCAAGATGGATGATTAGTAAAGGACAATATGAACAAGCAGAAAAACTACTTCGAAAAATTGCAAAAACAAATAAAAGACCATTTGATGAGGAAGCATTTCAAAGAATGATAGTTGATCAAGAAAAAGTAATGCATGAATGTCCTATATAAAGAATAATCGTGTCAGTTTCTCATCGATTTGTCTTAAGCTTATTGTCAGAAGCCTAAATGTCCCAGTTATAATGCTAAACATAAGCTTTACGAGTGATTCGGACAGTATAAATATTCTTGGAACATGTGCATTATCATGCCTAATATGATAACCGCTATTTGATGTGCAGATTCATTTCTGCAAACATTCTGCAGAATATATTTATCTTTTTTTTAGAGCACAATGAACACCGCACAACAAATCGGTGTATTATCTTTATTTCGGTCAAAAATAATGTTTATCATAACTATTAACTTGTTTTTTCAATGGTACGACGTTTCAATGTTATTTGACACAGGAAGAGATTATTACTTAGTTTTTTTAAAGGTTTGTTCAAAATTTAGTTTATTATGGAGTTTCACAAAACACTGGATCGTGGGGCTTTGATCCTTATTGTAAGTGAATGAACAGTAAAATTTTATAGATCTTTCTGTTTGGTATCCAAATTTATGTTTAGTATCATTTACAATTGCGGCTTGTGTGGAAATACTAGCTTATATGAGTGCACATCTAATATTAAATCGTATTGGACGGAAAGTGCCATATTTTACGGCTGTCTTTTGCTTTGTCATCGTTGCATTTTTGACAATATCAATCCAAAATTTTCAAAGTAAATCTGAAAGTTGTTTAAATACAACTATTTTAATATGTCCAAATTCGTTATTCTTTTAGATCAACGAATTCTAACCTTCATAATGAATGTACTGTTGAAATTTTTCGCATCACTTAGTTATGGAATTATCTATGTTTATGCAAACGAATTATTTCCTACCCGAATACGAAATACGGGAATGGGCATGTGTTCAATGGTTGCACGTAAAAAAGTTTTTTTTTTTCTCAAATAAATGACGTTACCAATATTCCTAAATGTTTAGGGATTGGAGCAATAGTAGGAACAACCAGTAATGATATGTTGGTATGTATCAGATGTTTTTTAGTTTTATGAAACGATTAGAGATAAGCATATTACACTTGCTTGTCGTCTGATATTCTTCCATTTGTATATAGTAGGACAAATTCTCATTTTGATATTTCGATAAATCATGAAAGGACGATTGATTTTTCATAGGAAATTATTTTCGTGATAAAATTCTACGCATTGTGTTGATTTTTTCAGACTTGAAAATTAAAAGACAGAGATCAAGACAGACATGTCTACGATAAACTCTGGAAATTTCCTAGTGTTCGAGTTTGATGCGAGTTGAGAATAATGATCATTCTGTAGCAATGAATAGAAATTCGTTCGAAAAAGTTCAAATTAGCATTTTTTATGATAAAAAACTTACACACTTCTTCGATCGATCGAAAAAATATCATAACAAATCAGATCAAAACTTGAATAGAAAAATGTTGAGCGACAAAATTTTCAATTCATGAGTGCTGATCCCAGTCTTTTCTAAAATGAACTTTTCTGTGTTATTTTTATCGTTTCTAGGCTCGTCTTTGGGTCAATCTTCCTACTGTGTTGTTCGGTATTCTATCACTTGTGGCAGCTCTTCTCGTTCTCATGCTACCGGAAACATTAAATAAAACACTTCCACAAACAATTGAAGACACAGAACAAATGGGTTTGGTTTGGTATGTAGATAGTGGTCATATTTTAGTATTGCACAGTAGATCGGCGTTTTTTTCCTGTCAGTTTCCATTATTAGAGATAAAGCTAACATGATCTAGAAATGTTTGAAATAGCCAATTGCGAACCAATCTCATGAACACAAAAGCATCTTAATCTTTTTGAAGCAACTATGACAATTCAATAAGCACAAGGGTGTGTGTGTGGCTTGTGGGTCTTGTGTAGATTAAAAGAGAAAAACATCTTTGTTCAATAGTAATTTGTACTTCTTAAATGAAATGAAAAAACGATTCTAAAATACCATTATGAACATTTTCTTTGGAAATTTACTTATCTGTTCACAAATTTCACAGGTCTTGTATAGTCACCGAGATTGCTCTTTCGGATGTTAAACACCGCAGGTCCCTATCTTGTTCTTTCAACCGTTATTCAAAAAAAAAGATTCTGAATACTTCCTGCTTTCTGGAAAGATAGTGATTTGTACAGAAAGGATCATCGTTGTTAAAAATATGATTGAATAATAATTTCTTTTTGTCAGTTCCCAAAATGCTATAGCAACTGAATAGTCAATTAGAATTGAACATATTATTATTACAGTATTGCAATGCAGTAATGGTAAATTTCGTACAATCAGTTTTACTTCGATAACTGACTAGGAAACATTTAATTAACATCAATCATAAAGAGATTACTCTGCATTAATGAATGAGCAAGAAAAAGAAATGTTATTTTGTCGCTTGTATTTACTTGCACATGTTTCTATATATTTAGCATCCGCATTCGTGATGCTCGACGAAGTCCAAAAACAAGACGGAAAGCTTGTATCGAAAATGATCAGAATACAAATGAAGACCTACTATTAAGTGAACAATTGAAAGTAACTGATCAACTTTAGATCTGACCAAAGAAAAAAGTCGTCGATTCAATAGTTATGAATTTTGTTATCACCATTCGATCTAATTTCATCACTTTTTATGGATGATCTCTACATTTGTTCTATGTATTAGGAAGAAGAGTTGAAAAGAAATCATGATTTATTTCCGACTGCCACAAGGTAGCATACCAAGCTCGAGATATAAATATGTGGTGATCGAAAAAAAGCAGGGTGTAGGTGTATGAACGAATAAAAATATCACACCCACACAGATCCTCTGAAACTCTTAAGTATCAGATAGCGTTAGAATCGAATGTTCCCTTATCGAGTTAGGTTTTTCATGTGACATGCGTATTGTTCAAAAGATTCTTTTGTTCAATGTCGAGTTTTTTTGTTGTTTGGTCTTTTTTTTTGCCAAACCATATGGATAGAGAACATTGAAATTGACAAGGCTTTGTATCGCTTCCTGTTTCCGACAGCCATCAAACGATGCTTTGCGATAAACCAAGGAAATCGCCCTTAAAAAGAAAATTAACATGTCATAAATGTTCGAGTTTTTCCAAAACTAATGCTGCTTCATTGAGTTTTGTGACCGCAATTTTCACACTCTTAATGTGTTGAAAAAGCGTTGAAGAGAGAATGTTCACAATAGCTCCCATAGTTGTCTTGCCAATTGATCCACATATGACGAGTGTATTCACTTTGGATGCTTGATCGAGGAGAATTTTCATTTTATCTATCGTGCTTGAATACAAAATATGATCTTTATTCACGCTCAATGTTAGTTCAGTAAGTTTAGACAAATCGACCAATTTAGATACTTTTTCAATTAAATTGTTCGGTCAATTTACGTCGATCTCGATTGAAAGTTCTGCTACATTTGGAAATAAGAGATCGATTGATGGTAAAGTCTACAAACAAAAGCATGTCTAATAGTGTCGAATCATTTTTGAACTATGACTATTATATGGCTTGTCCGCACGTAACGCACTTACACAAAAGGCCCTTGCCTTGCTGAAGGGTATCAAAGAGGTTGAATTTTCTGTCAATGATGAGTCTATAAAGACATATGGCCAAGAGCAAGTTAATAACTAGGAGCCGGAACTATACATTGGCAAAAAATGTTTTCAAAAACATAGTGCTCCGGGAGGATAATATAATAGATGCTGCCGTAACGCGCTCATATTTCGTTGTTTGAGCATTTTTTCTTCAGTATTTTCTTTCTTCTCTCGTACTTGTTAGTGTATAAGCAGCTTATTTTTATTTCATTTTCAAAATATTACCAGTCGTCATGCTGAAATATAAACAGGGATCGCTGTGTCTCTCAAGGATTCAGAGATAGAGGATGTGAGGGTGAGGGTGGAGGTGTGGGGGTGGGCGTGGGTGTGGGGTGTGGGTGGATGCGTATATGGGTTGGCAGAAGAACTTTACCCTCACCCACACCACCCACACCCACACACCCAAAGCAATATTAATATGCATCAGTAACAAAACATTAGTATTTTCTCATGAGCAGTCATGATAAAATGAAGCATTTAATCAGTTATACTTTCATGCGATTATGAAAACGCTGCTAACCTTTCTTGTGATATTGTATATCTTAATGCTACCATCAGGAAGACTGGCATGTTCATGTGTATAAAAAGAGTGGTTAGAACCGTACTAATACTGGATGTGGATGTGTTGGATGAAAATATGAGTTCGTAGTATACTAACTGATACTCACACTTTCACACGCAAACCAACCAACACCCACACCCTAATTTACATCCCACAATTGTTGATAATATTTTATTTCTTTGTTCTATGAAGAATAGCAAAAAGGTTTATTAATGACTACTTATATTGTTTTTTTACTATTGTATTGTTCTTTTTTCCAATATGAAGTCAAACAAATGATATGATCAAAGGAAACAAGATCTCATATATACTTAACGAAGTAGTGGAGAAAAAGCAATTAAAACCGGAACGAGGCGAGGCGAGGCGAGACGAGATGGGAAGCTAAAAATCTGCCCCGTTTTGGGCTCTGATGAGCATCATTAGAGTTAGAGATCTAAAAAAACAGTTTTTTTTTCTGCCAGGGAGAATTTTTTTCTAATTTCACTTATGACCTACAAAAAAACATCCTTTTCCTTTTGGTTCTTTCTATTTGTCAATATGCAGATAGTGGAGAAGTTAACAAAATATACTGATATTTGCGGGAAAGCTTTTTGAGTTGACTAAACTCATGTTAAACATTTTTTTACATTTAAGGTGTGTGAAACACAGCATTTATGTGACTCATTGTGTCATTTGCTCAGTGGTATGCGTCAGAAGTTGTCATTGTCTGTCACGATGATCTCAAGAATAAACAGTCACAAAATATTCATGCGAAGGCCAGATGAAAACATTGACAGATAAAGTTGTGGGTGTGGATGTCTTGTTTTGCATCGAGCTACATCGCACACTAGCTTACTTTTTGTTTCTTTCTTTCCCATACATGGTGCTGTTCATGCATATTTCAAGTCAGTAGACGCATATTTTCTCATACAATGCTTCGCCGTACACTGTGATTGTACTAGCCAGTTTCTTATGAACTCGTTCTCTCCAATACTTCTACTCATCGGTGCTTCGTCAGACAAATTAGAACACTCTGATTTAGATCCATTTTTCATTTCATTTCTCATCTAATTTCGAAATTTTCTGATTATATCTTTCAAAAGCAATCTTCTCTCTTGATGATACACGAGAAGCGATACAAAAAAGTACAATTTATGAATCATTGAATGATATCTATCACTTTTTTTCTTTTCTTTCAACAAAAACCGACCCAGCACAGACTTTTCTAGTGTCAAAAATAATTAAGCACATTTCTTTCGCATTTTCTGATTTTATTTACATGATGACTTTGTCTTCCTACGATGTGATGTTTCCTATGCTTTTTTTTCGGTTGAATGCATTTCTTTTTATGATGAAATGCTCTAAAAAGTGAATGTTGTTTTTATTGCCGACAATTTTTTTGGAGGTGAATGGATTTTTGTGTTACATTACTGCATTAGGTAAAACTTTTTTACTTTAGTCTTTTGACAATATGTTGTTTTCAATGTTCCTATGTCAAGAAATCTTTACTTTCATATTCTTTTTCCTATCTATCTTTGAAAAATAATTAGAAAAGTCAAAGTCTCTACAAATAAGCAATGTCTTAATTTTCTTCTTCAACTGTACATTATCTTCGTTTTTGTTATAATATTTGCTTGTCGTTTGCTTCCAGATTGACAAGGAGAAAAAAAGCTTACTTCTGTACTTCAGAAGTATGGAAATATCAAGAAGTATCAAAAAGAACAGAAGTATGCTTTTTCTCTGTTGGAGACTCGTCTACTTTTAGTCTCTTAGTGTGTATTGATTATTTTATCCAATCCACATGCACTGTGATTATGTTTGTGATATAAATCGACAGTATTTCAGGAGAACATAGTGAGAAATGAACGTGACCAATTAAAGCCACAATTATCCATCTCGTTTTTGTTCATGAGGAGTGATGGCTGAAATATATATAAGTGAATACAACTTTTTGGTATGATTACAATTCTAGCTGTATTTGCATAATAACGTTTGTTTTCGTTGATAAATTTCAACATTTTTTTTTATATGTTACTATTCTCTGGTTGCCATACAACTACACCAAAGTTCAACCTCTAGCTCATGCTACCAAGGATTTATAAGTCTCATACTGTGAAAAACTGATATTTTATATGGAGATGTGCTATGAAAAGAATATTTTCTAAGTATATTTCTTTCTTCCTCTTTTCACACCTATTCGTACTAAATACGTGTATTACAGACACTTGTTCATTGTCATGTCGAACCACCTTATCTTTAAATCTGTTTCGCCTGTGTAAAAGTCGAAGGAAACCAAAGGTATACAAAAGATAGACCATTGAAATGCGAACGAAGTGATAAAATAAAAACCTTTCTAAATGACTTTTCTTTTCAGTAACCGTGCAGAACATCTTATTTATGGCATCTTTTTTGCTTTGATAAATATATAGATAGAGGAAGAAAGATGTCTTCATATATAACATCATTGAGTGAAAAGTTAATGGTGTAAACCTTTTTAGATCTATATACCTGTCAATATCTGTAATAAAAATAATACTATCTGGATACTTTTTTTTCTGTAGTTTTCATGCATATGGAAGGTCCTTAAGTTTCTCGACATATGGAGAATATAAAATAATAATATTAATCTTGAAGTTTGACAGTAATTAAGATGCAATTATTCAAGATATTTTTGTCTACCAAATGGCGAGAAAAGTATGCAACTCATAGTTAAAGATTTAAGTGAATATGAATCAAATTACGACAATCTGAGTTTTCACTAGTTTTAGAAAATTTTTTCATTTAACTCTGAAATACACTGATATATCTTTTTACCTAGAAAAAGCATATATCAGATTTTCTTGTATTCATTAAGACCAAATAAAGTCTAATAAGTGTCCTAAAAATCAAAAAGCTATGTTTATAGATATAAGAAGTGCTGTCGAGATATTTCTGCCGAATTTCCAATTGATTGTTTAGAGTTATTTCTCTAAATATAACTGACCATAAGTAAGTATAGAAAGAAGAAGAAGAAAAGCAACCTATGAAATTCTTATTAACTTTTCAAACTATATATCATAACTATTTCAGACAGAATTTATTATGGTAGTTCTGAAAAAGATCTTCTATAAAATTATATCAACAACCACATGATATACTTCTCAACACCAAAAAAAATTTTTAGTTTCAAATCTTATTTTTTAATATTATATTGATTGCATTTGTATATAGGAAATGGGCATAATTCAAATGACTAGAAATCAACCAATCAATAAAGTGTAGAGGTAATCTTTATCATTGTCTCTGAAAAAGTAGTAGATATATGTCCAATTTCAATACTCATCTGATAGCGGATGATAATATAGGTGTACTGAAGTCTAAAGATTGAGACAAAATGATGATTTAATATGTGAACAGCTTCAGGGTGCATTAGTATTTATCAT